TGGAGCCCACTGTAGGGGGAATCACCAAAAGTGGAGCCCACTGTAGGGGGAATCACCAAAAGTGGAGCCCACTGTAGGGGGAATCACCAAAAGTGGAGCCCACTGTAGGGGAATTCACCAAAAGTGGACCCACGAGGGAATCACCAAATGGAGCCCACTGTAGGGAATCCCAAAAGTGGAGCCCACTTGTAGGGGGAATCACCAAAAGTGTAGTCCACTTTAGGGGGATCACCAAAAGTGTAGTCCACTTTAGGGGGATCACCAAAAGTGTAGTCCACTTTAGGGGGATCACCAAAAGTAAAACCGGAAGCAAGGAATTCAGTGAAATGTATCCCTTAAAGAGCTCATGTGAAATAAGTCACTTAAGGTGTCTCGTCGACAACGTAAAATGAGGTACCTATGGTGTCTCAAAAGTGAAATTAGTCACTTAGGGGGTGAAAAATATTGAGTTAAGATATACCTAAGTTATTGTAATCAAAACTAAGCGCTAAACCACAAAACTCCTATATCCAAGTTAAATTAGTTAAGGAAGGTGCCCTCAAAGTACAACGAGTTATTTGAGGTATACCTAAAAGTGGGTCGTTTACCTTTGATTGGTTTCAAGAGTTTTCCTATTCCCGTAATCCAGCACTGCGCCAGGCTTGTCTAGTGCTTACCTTGTCAACCAGGCTGGTGCTGCTGGCGGCCCATATGGGGTTCTCGAGAGCAAAATGGGTCACTTTAGGGGTTCCTAAAGTGAAATGAGTCACTTTAGTGTTCCCTAAGACAAACAGGTCACTAAAGACCAAAATTAATGAGTCATTTAAGGGGACCCCTAAAGAGAACGGGGTAACTTCAATTGGTCAATTAAAGGTGCCCACAGAGCACTGTCGCTTACGGGGTCATTAATTGAAGACCCTGAAATGAAACTTGCTACTTAAGAGGACCCCAAAGTGAAATGGGTGACTTGGTGGGTATTTAAAGAAAAATGCATTATTTAATGAAGCTCTAAAGCAAACTTGGGTCGCTTAAGGGCTACTTGAAAGCCCTAAAGTTTAATTATTAATTATTAAAATAGGCTACTTGAGGACCTGCTAGTTTTAAGATTCACTCGGCAGGGGTTCGAGCCCTACTTGTGATTTGAGGGCCCCTAGTTCAACGGGTTTCTCAATAGGACCCTAAATTTAAATCTGGTACTTAAGAACCCTAAAGTGGGTTATAAGGTGTTCCTGAGGTAAAATGGCCTAAAGGATCCCCCAATCAAAAACGATTAGAGACCCAAGTGAAATGGGCTAAGGTGGCCCCTAGAGTGAAACCAGCTCAAAGGAACTTAAAGTGAAATGGGTTTTCTTGGAGAAAAGGATTGAAGACCTTGCAGGCAAATAGATAAATTAAAACCTAACAAATCCCCAGGCCCTGATGAACTGTATGCAAGGGTTCTAAAGGAATGTAAAGAGGAGCTTAGCACACCTTTGGCTAATCTTTTCAACATATCACTACAAACTGGCATGGTGCCAGATAAGTGGAAAATGGCAAATGTGATACCTATTTTCAAAACAGGTGACAGGTCCTTAGCTTCGAACTATAGACCAATAAGCCTAACCTCCATAGTGGGAAAATTTATGGAATCAATAATTGCCGAGGCAGTTCGTACCACCTTGAAAAGCATAAATTAATCAACGAATCTCAGCATGGTTTTACAAAGGGGCGTTCCTGCCTTACGAATTATTAACTTTTTTCACTAAGGTATTTGAGGAGGTAGATCATGGTAATGAATATGATATTGTGTATATGGACTTCAGTAAGGCTTTTGACAGGGTCCCACATCAGAGACTATTGAGGAAAATTAAAGCACATGGAATAGGAGGAGAAATTTTTTCCTGGATAGAGGCATGGTGACAAATAGCAGCAGAGAGTTTGCATAAATGGGGAGAAATCAGAGTGGGGAAGCGTCACGAGCGGTGTTCCACAGGGGTCAGTGTTGGGCCCCCTGCTGTTCACAATCTACATAAACGACATAGATGAGGGCATAAAGAGCGACATCGGCAAGTTTGCCGATGACACCAAAATAAGGCCGTCGAATTCATTCTGACGAGGACATTCGAGCACTCCAGGAAGATTTGAATAGACTGATGCAGTGGTCGGAGAAGTGGCAAATGCAGTTTAATATAGACAAATGCAAAGTTCTAAATGTTGGACAGGACAATAACCATGCCACATATAAACTAAATAATGTAGATCTTAATATTACGGATTGCGAAAAAGATTTAGGAGTTCTGGTTAGCAGTAATCTGAAACCAAGACAACAGTGCATAAGTGTTCGCAATAAAGCTAATAGAATCCTTGGCTTCATATCAAGAAGCATAAATAATAGGAGTCCTCAGGTTGTTCTTCAACTCTATACATCCTTGGTTAGGCCTCATTTAGATTATGCTGCACAGTTTTGGTCACCGTATTACAGAATGGATATAAATTCTCTGGAAAATGTACAAAGGAGGATGACAAAGATGATCCCATGTATCAGAAACCTTCCTATGAGGATAGACTAAGGGCCCTGAAACTGCACTCTCTAGAAAGACGTAGAATTAGGGGGGATATGATTGAGGTTTATAAGTGGAAGACAGGAATAAATAAAGGGGATGTAAATAGTGTGCTGAAAATATCTAGCCTAGACAGGACTCGCAGCAATGGTTTTAAGTTGGAAAAATTCAGATTCAGGAGGGATATAGGAAAGTACTGGTTTGGTAATAGAGTTGTGGATGAGTGGAACAAACTCCCAAGTACAGTTATAGAGGCCAGAACGTTGTGTAGCTTTAAAAATAGGTTGGATAAATACATGAGTAGATGTGGGTGGGTGTGAGTTGGACCTGATAGCTTGTGCTAACAGGTCGGTTGCCGTGTTCCTCCCTTAAGTCAATGTGACCTGACCTGACTAGGTTGGGTGCATTGGCTTAAGCCGGTAGGGACTTGGACCTGCCTCGCATGGGCCAGTAGGCCTTCTGCAGTGTTCCTTCGTTCTTATGTTCTTATGTTCTTATGTTAACTGGAAATAGATATACCTGCCTGGAGGGTATTCCAAGGATCAGCGTCCTCACGGCCCAGTCCATGACATACTATATTCATGGGAACAATGCTAACTTCTTAGAATGCAATGAGTAACAGGGGCTTGAGTAAATCCTTAGGACATGTACTGAAATCCTTAGGACATGTACTGAAATAGCTAAACGATTTGGCTAAGTGGGCTCTGTGCTTATACTAACTCACAGTGGAATGTTGCAGTAACCTACTAGCCCATGCTAAGTGGATCCTACTCTTAACCAACCGTCTCATGTATAGTGTACCTGTATTTTTAAAACTCAAAGCCTAATTCAAGATACTAACATGCAGCGTTTTTCATTTATCAGCACTTATTGCTAGTGTTTTCCCATCTTGTTCCTAAAAAATCCTATCCAGTTTTAACCCACTGCAGAGTTCTGCCTTTATTAGATATTTTCAGTACTTTATTTCTATATCTACAGCAGGTGTACTGGTTCATGACAAATTCCTGCTCACACTCGATCATTCTTACTTATATTTCTAATAAATTCTTATATTGTTTTATGTCTACACAGCAAGTGTTGGCACTTAAAAGGTAATTTTATGGCATGACAGTTATAGTTATCTTAATTTATGCTAGCTAGAGCCACTGTTGGGTGCTTTATTCAATTTCTGCACTCTCTCTCCATGTCTCCAATGCAATTTTGACTAAATACACAAGTTATTAATGAGTCTAGGTGTTTACTAAATAAAGACCATCATTAATGAGTTACCCTAGCAGCCCTGAAAGCAAATGTATTGCTTGAAAACATAAGCACTGCAAAGAGGCCTACTGGTTCATCACAGCCAGGTCCTACTCACATGCAAAAACTTGGGAGAGTAAGTACCTAGTTAAGGGAGGTAATGTTAGTGAAATGCTCAAGAAGAATTAGTAGTTTGTTGGTTGCTTTCAAAATTCACATTCATCCAGTAGCATGGTGAAGGCTTACCAATTTAGTACTGGAAAAGGCAACTATACAATAAGCACTGCAGTAGGCCTACTGGCCCTTGCTAGGCAGGTCTGACAAGCCCAACTATTCCCACTTCTGCAAGTCTGGCCTATTCTAAACTCATTCCATCTCCACACAAAGGATGCTGTACATATATACAAGCATTGGTATAGTTATTTCACAGACATGGGTCCCTCTGCGCCCAAATATACAACCTATGTACCCATTACCAAGGGAGCTCATACTAAAACAATCACATTCACCTGCATAATTTCCATTCATTTCAACACAGTTACTAGCTTTTGTGCAAAGCTGGACTGATACTGGACAGTGCCGCCCCTACTGCAGGTTATGGACTAAACCTGGGATTATATATCCACAAGGGCGAGGCTCTTACTGCAGTGGTGTTAGCGCCGCTACCACCATAATCTACCACTACCATAACGCCACGAGGAACCCATCTCAATATCCTTACCATCACTTTAAAAGTTACCCAAAGTCCACGAATTTGGACTTGAGGCTTGCCTGCGGGGTCAGCAGTTGCAGGTGTGGGTTAAGGAGAGGGCATGGGCGTAAGTAGGACAGGTGGTGGTGATGGTCAGGTCAAGCCCCGACACAATCTTCACTACAGCCTCCACCTCTACACCTACTAGATGCGGCAACGTTGCATTCCCTTTTATTGCTCCAGCCACAACTTTTTCCACCAACAATTACGTTTCTAGAACCACTCACCTCTCATCTTCAAGGCTGACGAGGAAATGAAGCTATTAGACTCTAGTGAAGGGAGAAAATTAAGGTTAACCGAGGAGGCCCAACTCGCGCGCGTCACCCATGCTGGCGCTGTGATGGCGGCCAGCCCGCCAAAACTGCACCTATAACTTCCGCACCTCACCCTGGCCTCATCTCTACTCCTGCAGCCCTCAGCTCACGCCACAACGCACATCTACCTTCTACAAGCTACAAAACCAACACACAACGCCAGGGGATAACACTTACTCCACTTGTGAGGCGAAATAGGAAGCGCGCCACTTTCCCTCCCGACCACCAGTTCACCAGTGAACAATAAGTGGCGCCAAACTCCAATCCCCATGCTATACGAATTTCCCGCCAGTCCCACTCAGCGAGCGTTCATACTCCTATCATCAAAGAATTCCCATTCCACACTCTCCCTCTCTTATCTTATTTCCTACATCGTAAAATATAATCTGATATGTTAATTCTAAAGGCAATTCGTTCCCATGACACATCCGTATTTATTAAAATACGTATATAAACAAAAAGTCTAAATTTTAAACTTGTTGCCACCAGATGCCCTCAGTGTCGATTTAAAGCCACGGTATTTTGGTAAACAAAGACAGGAACCTATGCAGAGCGTAGCAATATTCACAAGGCATTAGTAACGTGAATATCAATAGTTTTCCAATTATTTTTAATTCAAATTTATGAGTTCCTATTATTTATGTTTTTTCGATAATTTTGTACTCTCCTTATTAAGTGATTATGATAATTTGATATAGTTTTAAGGTAGTACGCTTCTTCGGGGCAGGAGTGCCATAAGGTCGATGTGTGTTGAGTTAAATGGCCCAGCTGGTGGGGGAGTTTGTCTGGCCCAGAGTCCCGTCCATCCTACTGCCATCCCTACTGCATCAGCTGCAACCCTCACCTATTTCATGGCTAAGATAGCCAGGGATGTCCCACTGCCCTCCATGTTACCTAGAGTTACCCATCTTGTTGAGGTTCACTGAACCTGCTAATGATAATGATGACTTTAAAACGTTAACTCTGTTAACCTTGTGATAACAGTTGAAGCAGCGTTAGTATTAGATTAGTAACGTAGATAATTCAGTTATAACCTGTCAAGTTATCCACCAGCCTACTCAATTTAAGCAAAATACTGAGATCTTAACATCCCAGAGAGATTTGCAAAAGGGAAATGTCTTAAGTTTCAAAGTTGACATGTAAGGGTGAGGCAGTGCCTTAGTGAGGCTCCCTGCCGGAAGTACTCTGAATAATGACTGAGGTTACTAGGAGTTTTAGCTAGCGCTCTGCCCTGTCGTCACCGACAACAAAGAGTAAAATGAAATAAATACCAGCCACTGGAATGCAGTCCTCCCGGGAAGCAAGATAGGATAGGCCTAAATGAGATTATGTCAATGGAATTGCACCAGAAAGTTAATGAATAGCGTGTTAAGACTACTAAAGCTGTAACTTTTTTTTAAATGTTTGGTGCTTTTGTCTAGTACGTGGGCGGGAGAGAGGATATGCGACATTGATCAGCTGTTAGATAAGAGAGGGAGGAGACACGTGGTTGGAGGTAGGGTGGGTCGTTGGGGAGGGAGGTAGGCATTGCTATAACTAAAACTGGCCCATCCTTTACTTAATACCTGCCTCGAATTTCATCTTAGATGCTATGGTATCAGTGTACTTGATCTCTAGTTCGAGCTAGTTTATTACAGGTCTTTTGGTCAGCCCCCATTTAGCTATATGGCGGCTAGCTTGGCCTACCCTCTCGCCGGTATAAAGCTATCGACCAGTGGTATTCTCTCTCTCTCTCTCTCTCTCTCTCTCTCTCTCTCTCTCTCTCTCTCTCTCTCTGTCTCTCTCTGTCTCTCTCTCTGTCTCTCTCTCTCTCTGTCTTTCTGTCTGTATGTCTCTCTGTCGTTCTCTGTCGCTCTGTCTCTGTCTGTCTGTCTGTCGTTCTCTCTCTCTCTCTCTCTCTCTCTCTCTCTCTCTCTCTCTCTCTCTCTCTCTCTCTCTCTCTCTCTCTCTCTCTCTCTCTCTCTCTCTCTCTCCATCATGTGCTCTCCCTTGATGCTAGTGCAGTTCTCTTGTTCCAGGGAATCGAAGCTACCGTCCCCTTCCTCGCATCAAGCCTGATTAACCTCATATATCCCCGTTGATGTATGACCACTATGGGTTTAGTGCCTCCCAATGAATATAATCATGTACTCGTGTAGTTACAGACGTTTTAAATAATGGCAGCCACATCGCTTGCACTCACCTTTAATTCTCTCTCTTCTCTGTATTTCGTAAACATATTACTGACGCTGTATTATACTCAGGTCCTATTCATCTTCAGACCCAGACACGGTCACTCCACTGAAACGGTCACTCCACTGACACGGTTACTTCATTGACACGGTCACCCCACTGACACGGTCACTCCACTGACACGGTTACTTCATTGACACGGTCACCCCACTGACACGGTCACTCCACTGACACGGTTACTTCATTGACACGGTCACTCCACTGACACGGTCACTCCACTGACACGGTCATTCCACTGACACGGTCACTCCACTGACACGGTCACCCCACTGACACGGTCACTCCACTGAAACGGTCACTCCACTGACACGGTTACTTCATTGACACGGTCACCCCACTGACACGGTCACTCCACTGACACGGTTACTTCATTGACACGGTCACTCCACTGACACGGTCACTCCACTGACACGGTCATTCCACTGACACGGTCACTCCACTGACATGGTCACTCCACTGACACGGTTACTTCATTGGCACGGTCACTCCACTGACACGGTCATTCCACTGACACGGTCACTCCACTGACACGGTCATTCCACTGACACGGTCACTCCACTGACACAGTCACTCCACTGACACGGTTACTTCATTGACACGGTCACTCCACTGACACGGTCATTCCACTGACACGGTCACTTCACTGACACGGTTACTTCATTGGCACGGTCACTCCACTGACACGGTCATTCCACTGACACGGTCACTCCACTGACACGGTCACTCCACTGACACGGTCACTCCACTGACACGGTTACTTCATTGACACGGTCACTCCACTGACACGGTCATTCCACTGACACGGTCACTCCACTGACACGGTCACTCCACTGACACGGTTACTTCATTGACACGGTCACTCCACTGACACGGGTCATTCCACTGACACGGTCACTCCACTGACACGGTCACTCCACTGACACGGTTACTTCATTGACACGGTCACTCCACTGACACGGTCATTCCACTGACACGGTCACTCCACTGACACGAATACTCCAATGACACAATCACTCCACTGACACGGTCACTCCACTGACACGGTCACTCCACTGACACGGTTACTCCACTGACACAATCACTCCACTGACACAGTCACTCCACTGACACAATCACTCCACTGGCACAATCATTCCACTGACAATGGCTCCACTATCACAATCATTCCACTATTACTATTACTCCATGACAGTCTCTCCACTGTCATAATCACTCCACTGACAGTCACTCCACTGACACTACATTGATTCAGTCACTCCACTAACAATCATTCCACTGACACTGATACAATCACTCCACAATAACACAATCACTCCACATTTACATGCCACCAAGATCATCACTATCACCACCTCTACCACCACAACCACTATCCATACTATCACCACCACTACCAGTACCATCACTATTACCGCCATCACCACTACCATCATACATACATTACTCCCATACACTACAATCATACATTACCATTAACCATCACCATAATGACCACCATAACCATTACCACCATCACCACCACTACCACCACCATCTCGATCACCATCACTATCACCATCATGGTCACGATCACCTAGACCATCCTGTTACCATCAACATCACCATCACCTTACATCACTACCGTATACCACAATTACCATACATCACTACCATACACCATCACCACCACCATATATCACTGCCATACGCCATCAACATACATCATTACTATACACCACCATGCATCACTATTATATACCATATATTGCTACCTTACACTACCACCATACACCATTACCATACACCATCACACCCATACATCACTACCATAACGCCATCACCACACCCATATATCACTACCATAACACCATCACCACACCCATACGTCACTACCATACACCACCACCACACCCATACATCACTACCATACAACATCATACACTCATCAATAGGAGGTAGGAATCTAGTGCATAGAAGTGGAGAATCAATGTTGTTGACACTGCCTTACATGGCTACCCGTCTGCTCTCTCTCTCTCTCTCTCTCTCTCTCTCTCTCTCTCTCTCTCTCTCTCTCTCTCTCTCTCTCCCTCTCTCTCTCTCTCTCACACACACACACACACGCACACACACACACACAATTTAGACAGGAGAGAGAGGGATTGGTACATTGCATCTTTTTGGACCGTAAGAAGGCTTTTGACACTGTACCACACAAGAGACTGGTTCAAAAACTAGAGGAGCAGGCAGAAATAGTAGGGAAAGCACTGTAGTGTATCAGGGAATACCTGACAGGAAGGAAACAACGAGTGTTTGTATGTGATGAGGTGTCAGAGTGGGCTCATATGTCGAGTGGAGTTACACAAGGGTCAGTCCTGAGTCCGGTGTTATTTCTTATATATGTGAATGATTTGATTGAATGAATAGAGTCAGAGGTGTCCCTGTTCGCTGATAATGTGAAAATAATGAGAATACAAGAGGACGAGGATCAGATAAGATTACAAGGGAATCTGGACAAGCAGAAAGCCTGGTCCGACAACTTCTCTCCTGGAGTTTAACCCTACCAAGTGCAAAGTCATAAGGCTTGGAGAAAAACAAAGAAGACCTCAGACGGAGTACAGGCGAGGGGATCAAAGGCTGCAAACGTCACTTAAGGAAAAGGAACTGGTGTGAGCATTACACCGAGCAAGTCTCCTGAAGTTGCACATTAACCAAATAACTGATGAAACATATGGGCGCCTGACAAACCTGAGAACAGCATTTCGACATCTAAGTATGGAGTCATTCATGACACTGTATGCCGTGTACGTTAAGCACCAGTATGGAACTCAGTATGCAGTGCCAGTATGTAGCACCTGGTCAAAGACGTCAAGAAATTGGAGAAATTGCAAAAGTTTGCAACAAAACTAGTCCCGGAGCTAAGGGGCATGTCTTATGAGAAGAGGTAAAGGGAACTCAGCCTGATGACACAAGAAGATAGGAGGGACATGTTAAGGACGTATAAAATACCGAGAGGAATTGACAATGTGGACAGGGCTAGAATGTTTCAGAGATG